CAGCTGCGTGCTCTTGCTAAACATACAACTGCAAAGTCTGTGGTATGTTAATTTTATTGCTATGTTCATGTTAGCTTTCTCATAGTGTATTGACCTTTTTGTGAGTATTACAGTAAATAAATGTAATTCTGTGCATTTCTATATAATTACTAGAATAACATGTCGTACTCATTTTCCTTTTATAGACCGTGAAAACTGTTGAAAATGCTGAAAAGAATACAAAAGTTATTGAAAAGTGGGTTCGTGATATCAGTGAGCTTCACCGAGCCAAGCCTCCACCAACTGTCCATTATAGCAAGTAAGTTTTTTCTTCCTTTTTGGTCTTGAAACTTCCCCAAGATAAATTTGAATTTATTTGTAATGACAACAACTTTTCAAAATAACCTTTGGAATTTTTGGATAACGTTCAGTTTAAAGCACCTGCATGAAATTTTGTCTAACAGACGGATGCCAGACATTGACAGCCTGATGCAAGAATGGCCAGGGGAAGTAGAAGACCTCCTTAAGGAAATTAGTCTGCCAACAGCAGCTCTCGAGTTGGACTTGCCCTCTTATGTGGATATCATATGTGGTATGTACAAAGATGCTGGTGTTGAAAGTGTCATCAATTGCTATTTTATCATATTTCATATTGAGTTCATATATACACATTTAACCCATTGGATTTGGGTGTCTCATGGCTTATATGTAGACCAAAATCCAGGCACTAGGCATACTTGGGTTGCACCTCTCCTGGATGGGATTACGATTTATTAGCCCAAGCTACGCAAACACCTATACACAGTATCAAGACTCCTTGTCTCCACTTTGTAATGCTATAAGCTTTTTTCTGCTGACCAGTTTTTCCTGTTTTGGCATTTTCTGAGGTCCATATTTGTCATTTAATAAGTATTTTCATTGAAGACTCTTTATTATCTCTTTAGGTAGTTTACATGGCAATAAAAGCTATAACAAGGGGTTATTTTTTTTTTTTTTTTTTTTTTTTTTTTTTTTTTTTTTTTTTTTTTTTTAGGGGGATGTAGAGGGAGGGAGGGAGGGAGGGAGGGGTGTAGAGGGAGGGAGGGAGGGGTGTAGAGGGAGGGAGGAGGGGTGTAGAGAGAGAGGGAGGGTGTATTGGGAGGGAGGGAGGGATGTAGAGGGAGGGAGGGAGGGATGTAGAGGGAGGGAGGGAGGAGGGATGTAGAGGGAGGGAGGGAGGAGGATGTAGAGGGAGGGAGGAGGAGGGATGTAGAGGGAGGGAGGGAGATATAGAGGGAGGGAGAGAGGGGTGTAGAGGGAGGGAGAGAGGGTGTAGAGGGAGGGAGGGAGGGAGGGATGGATAGGCACCTGCATATGGATATAATGCCCTCACTGGAGTTAGCACTTTTTCAGGCATGGCTCACAGGTGGTACTCCACCCTTGTTTACTGGTGGACTAATTCAAGTGCCCCTTTCCAAAGGCCCAGTGATTCAGCTTCCCTCCAAAAACTTTGTGCTCTCCTTGTGTGACATCCCCATGACTTGCCACTCAGCAACAATATCCAATGGTGAGATTCTATCTTCACCCCAATCCTCAGTCAAATTTTAATGTGGAGACATTCCTGTCAGCCACCCCTCAGCAATATTTTCTCTTGATGAGACATCCACGTTACCAAGATCCAATGGGTTAAGCAACTCTAGCCTAACATCTTTTTGTGTATTTTACCCACAATGAAAGTTTATCTTGTTGTAGATACAATTGAATGGATAATGGTTTAAATGAATAAATGTAGTAATCAAAGGTCTAAATCAAAGTACTAGCTACAAATGAAGTGTAATATTAATGTCTTTATTATACTTGTTTTTGTTATCATTAATAAGAGTTATCAGTAAGCTTTGTAATTATCAGAAATATAGCTTTTCATTTGTTTTGTTTAACAGTTTTAAAGAAAAAAAATATATAAAGGATTGTTGGCAGTCATTATGTAGAATAATTATCACTCATCTCTTCTCATTTTCAGCTACATTGGATATTCCTGTATACAAGAGTAGGATTCAATCATTGCATGTTCTCTTCACACTGTACTCTGTGTTCAAGAATTCAGCGCACTTTAGACAGCTGGCAGAGGAAAATTACATTGAGAATGATGATTCAGAAGCTGATAGATTAATCATCCAGTAAACCAAGTATGTTTGCTTTAATGTCATTGGTGTCATGTAAGAAAACAAATTGTTTTGCCAAATCTCATGTGAATAATAACCTTTTAAAAATTTCTTGCACTGGGCATGCTTAACTCTTTACCAAAGTTTTTAGAGAACCTATGTAATCATGACTGTACTCAGACACATCATAGTAAATTATGCAAAAAGCCCTTGTATGCATAATAATTAAATAAACAAATAAAATTGGCACTAGCATAAATTTGTCTGGCCAAGAAATACTGGGCTTAGTTTTTCATGTTTCCTCCGTCCTCACACACACTTAAAGGTCTGTGCCAGCCTCACTAGGCTATAAGCTAACATGAATGCCCCATACTATCACT